TAGCATAGTCAAGTGAATCGGAAGGTGTACCGTGAATGCGACGATGCCCGAAAAGTCAATCTCTTGAGCACTTGTTAAGGACCGACAAAGTGATACCATTTGCCCCTAAATGACAACGAACGAACATGGTCTGAGCTTGGGTCGATAGATTTCCACAATGATCATACTCCCATCGAATCGATTTCATTCATCATAGGCACTCGAGTTCGCATGATGGATTGACAATGTCGATTGCCACAATGATTCCCTTGCCTAAGTCATGATGATGTCCCGAGCATGCTCTCATCTCATTTGATGGATGGTAAGTGGAAGCTAGCCCTAATGTTAAATCGGTCCGCTGGAGAAGGTGGAAAAAGCTCAGTACCTGATTGGATTATGGCATGACTGGCTTGTCCCAGTATCTTCCATTAATGGTGGAGTGGTTGGAATTGGATCGAGTGGATGACAAACCCAAAACCTAGCCTCAAAAATGTCAACTCGGGTCAGCGTCACCCGGCGTCAAAAGGTCACACCGTCCGTCATCATGTCGTGAATTCAAATCATGTTATGAGCAAACTTTTGGACAATTAATACTTTAGATATTTTGCTGTTTTGTGAAGAGACTTTCCCGGCTTGTACTGTATGAGATAGGATTGTGATGACGAGCTCGTTGACCTCGGATTTTAGATTTTTCACGGTAAAAGGACACCAGAAGTGCCATAAGTTGTGTACGGAGATCACTTTGATGCCATAACTTTTTTTCGGATCACTTTGGTGCCAAATCGGAGGAAAATAGATCACTTTAGTGACTCAGGCCAAAAAGCTGATGTGGCATTTATATTTAAAAAAAATGGTATGACTTGTACACGTGGAAATTATGTGGCTTTTTTTCGAATTTTTTAATCTTTTTAATCTTTTTTTTTCCTAACATTTTCCCGGTTGCTGGTCCAGCGACCGGCCAGAGGGGAGGGCTGATGAGGCCGACTTCGCCAGATCTGGCGAGGCCGACCTCGCCATCGCCTAGGTCGCAACGGCGATCGCTTCCTCTCGACGAGGGTCGCTGGGCCCCGGCCAGGGGCCGGCGACCCTCGCCGACCACTCCGCCCACCACCGCCGGCCCTTCCCGGCGATGGTGGGGTGGCAGCAGCAGCAGCGGCGAGGGAGCCCTCGCCGCTGTTGCAATGTTTGATTTTTTTTAAAATATAAATAAATATAATATAAATTTTATTTTTCTAAAAAAGTACACGTCAGCGGACTAAACAGCGTCGTTTTTAGTTTTTAATGCTGACTGGACCTCTCCGGCGAGCCATGTCAGCGCCACGTAAGATTTCCGGCAAGCCATGTCAGCATTGGCACTAAAGTGATAGTTTTTCAAAAAAGTTAGCACCAAAGTGATCCGAAAAAAAGTTATGACACCAAAGTGATCTCCGTACACAAGTTATGGCACTAATAGTGTCATTTTGCCGATTTTTCAGTGGATCAAGTAATTTTGATCAAACCGAACGCTCGGTCGCGGATGTCAAATTCCAATAGCGGCTTTCTTTTCTCGATAAGAGAAGAGGCTACTACTGCCCGTGCTTCTGGGTTTCGTATATGATAATTTATTGAAAATATGTTGAGTAAATCTCCTCCTCTACTTTTTCGAAATCCATTCTTTTAGTTGCAACAATGACATTGCCCATGATGGAGTTCAAATAATGGGACTGAATATCACGAAAAATTATATGCATCGTTTATTAGATGATAAATATCATAGGTACGCTTGTCTTCTTTGTAAATTCACTTTACACTTATCAAACATCTTTATGTGTCCTATTTTACTTAAAATGAGTATATCATGGCCCGTTTTTCTTTTTAATTTGACATGATGATTTTATCAAGTTTTAAGCAATCGTCATTCTTTAATTAAGTACAAATTAACTGCGATATTGCATTCTACTACATATTTATATTGTATTGAAGCAAGACAATTTTTATGCTCTATGTCATAGCATGGATTAATAACTATAAATAATTTCTCTACCACCTGGTACATGATGTATATTATAGTCAAGGTTACTATGATGTATTTTTGTCTGTTCTCAATTTATGGTTTCACATAAAAGTTAGTCTGTTCTGCCACAAATTCTATAATAAGCAACAAAATCAATTTTTCTCTCTATATTATTATATAGACATATGGTCGTATTTTTTTTTTTTAATCTTTCTACGGCATAACATGCCGTGCCTAATAGAGTCAATTTTACTTGAATTCACAATCATAACTATCTTGTCATTCTAATAAATTCTAATTTTACTACTTATTACTTCAAATATTCTTAGGTATATATAATATTTATGTTAAATTTTCCCAAATAATCTTCTCTTACATTGTTATATATAACGCATATTCCATTTTACTACACATATAAAATGTCACAATACGATTAGATATCTGTATTTAGATTGAGATTTCAAGAGATTCCCCTTCAAATTTTCGCCATCATCAGAAATTATATGAGAGTTTAGTTTGGAAAAAAAAAAGTAGCATTCTCCCTGAATCGGATGCATTTAAAGTCAAAAGGTCACTTTTACTCTAAATATTTTAAATGTGGTATTGGCAGGTGGATCAATTTAAAAGGGATCTATTTTTATTTGGGCCGACAGGGTTAGTTGGGCCCGTCTTCATTATATCCTTGGAGGCCCGAACCCGAATCGAGTGGGGCCACAGTTGGGCCTTTATGTTCTGGACAGCCCGACTTTATTGCTAATTTTTGTCTATTCTCAATTTACTGCTAATTGGACCCGGTTGTGATGTCCATGCTCGAGGATCCGAATCATATAACCTTGAAAAGAAGAAACCACTTAAAATCTTATATGCATATCTATATGTCTGTCCGTCTATCTTTCTATCTATCATCTTAAACAAGCGTATTGTTATTCGAGGTTGTAACTCATCGAGGCTAGAAAATACTGAACAAATTTTTTTTTAGATAGTAACGTTGTAATTTGCGTCCTTAAGTGAGATCGCCATATAATATAGATGTGAAGAACATAAAGTACCGATTTTAGATGTTGGGGCATAACCTACCTTTGAATCGGGCATCGTGATTGCGCCTTGACTGTTTACATCAATACATGTTGCGAAGCACATTTTATATGCACAAAACCTTGATCAAAAGTTTAAATTTGAAACTCTAATATCGCCGAATAGCTAGGTGATTGTAAAATAGTTGTTAAAAATCAACATATAAGGAAGTGAAAACAAATTACAATCTTATAGATTTATTAGGTCAGTCGACACCGCGGAATTGGTAGTGCTAGTTTCTTGAGATGAAAATAATTATTAGTAATATTCGTAGGGCCGTCAAATGGATGGGTCGGATCGAAAATGATCCGACCCAAATTGACCTATTTAACCCATTTATATGCAAAACAAATTTAGGGATACATATCCCACTAGATTCATATTATTAAAATACTTCTATATTTGATCCAAATTATGAGAATTCGTATTCACCTAATTAACCCACTTTAATCTCTTCATGAATGTATGTTATTTGGATACAATCGCTATTATAAGACGCTAAAGAATTGGCTTTCAACATTGCATAGAATTTTCAATCTTTGTATTGATTCACAACGAAGAATAAGAAAAAGTTAGTATTTGGTAGTGAATTTACAAAATTATAGCAACAAATAATGTGGATGATTGAAATTTTAATTAAATAGAATGTAAGATATTGAAGAAGATGATTTATGCTAACCATGGATTGCAATGACAAGAATTAATATTAGAATATTACATAAAAATAACGATGCCAAATGCAACTAAGGAAAATATACTCCAATAACTAACAGACGAAGCTTACAAGATCAATAAAAATAAAAAATAATGGAGAAAAAAAGAAGCCGTCTTAATATTTTTGATAAGGGCAAAGTTGAGCCCATCTTGCGGGCCCACAAAGACTTTTTTAAACTTGGAACAGGCCGAAAAATCTATTATTTTCTCATTGAGGGTAAAAAGAGAATCACAGAGATGTGTTGGGTAAACTGTGAACCTATTTTGACAAAAAAAACTGTGAACCCATTTAACGCTTATATTCTAATCTCATTTATAACTTATTTACTAAACACAACTAATTCATATAATGACTCATCCCATCAAATATGAGTTAAGATATGGTTTAAGATCCATTTTGACATGTCTTATTACTCGTGAGAGGGAATTGGCGCAGTATACGGGAGTGCGTTTTATGCTAATACACCGATAAGTTACAATCACGCCGAATATTTTGGGTGTTCACAAGGATCTAAAAATATGATTTAGGACAGGAGATACATGCCTAACAATCTTCCAAAGATAGGCCACTCGAGAATGGGGGGGCCTTCTTCATCAGCTGGATTTTCACAAAAGATCTGTCGCGGATGGAGTCACCTCGATATTTCATTGTCAGAAAAGACCCAACTTTCTTCCGAAAAGCGCAACATCATGAACATCAAACTCTGTCATCACAGACATCTCGTTTTGCTCTAGTAAGAAACCGCCACTTTTCCTAATGAGACCCTTGCTTCTCTCTCCTTCTCTCCTGAAAGTTCTGCTTCTTTTGATTCCACCAAACTTTTCATGTCATCTTTCACCCTATGCTCCTTTCACACCAGTTCTTCAAACCTACCACATATAATGCTCAACCGTAGACAACTTAATGTGTAAGCACAGAATATGTCTCACTCCACTTAGCAGGGGCCACATGGTGTTTGAACAAGTCAAATCAGAGTCGACAGTGTTTTATACCAAGTTGACACATGGAATGGGCGGCACGAAACTACAGATGAAGCATCGGGCGGTCATTTTCAGAATCAACACCACGCAACATTCGTTATCTGTGAATGTTGAATTAACATTACCAAGAAAAACTCTTCAACTAAGCATCAACATCAGTTGGATTCTAATCAACATTAAGGACCATGGATAACCCGACTAAACCATCTTCAAACGTGAGGAACGGATACAAGAATAGCGAACATCACACACAGTGAAATAAGTAAGAAACAACAATTAAATTGAATTGATAGCTAGTCTTCATAAGTACACACAGAACTGGAAAAAAAACAATTTGGAAGCCTTTAATAATAAGATAACTCTCCAACGCCAAAAACCAAAACCCAAATCTATTCAATTGCTCATCTAACTTCGGCCGGCCGGAGATATTAAAACTACCAATGTTAATCACTGGCACATATGTATGCACATAACCGTGTCCCCAAAAATACAAAACCTATCATTTTAGGCCGTGCGTATATATCTACACTTTCTGGAGCAAACCCTGTATTCACACGATGGAGTCCAAATAGCTGTTACACCGCCTCCTGTTGAACTCCAACAAGCTCCCGTAAGTGCGGTCTGCGATCCCGACAAAGAGAGCTTCCGTATCGGGGCTGAACGATATGCCGGCAATCTCTCCGAACAAGTCGATCTCCTGCCCCTTAACATACCCGGACTGCGTGTCGTAGATGTGCACAAAGTCGGCAGGCTCGGCCATGGCCATGAACCTGCCGTCAGATGTGAACTTAATGGCTCTGATGGCCCCCATATTTCCCTTGAGAACAGCAAAGGACTGCGACGGATTCCTAATGTCCCAGAGCCTACACGTCGTGTCTTGATTGCCTGTGGCCAGAATTTGACCATTCGGATGCCAAGCAGAAGCGAAGGAATAATCCAAGTGCCCTTTCAAGCTGTTGATTGTCTGCAGTTACAAAGAAGCATAGTGAGAACACAAATCCCAGCCTAAATATTGAACCTGCATCTACCAGTGACAATTGACTTACTTTTCCAGACTGAGCATCAGCTATCAAGCACTCTTCGCTGTCCCCGAGAACTGCCAGTAATTTGCCATCGGGGCTTACAGAGGTATTCTGTAAATAGTCATAAGAGCAAGTGAGGAGAGTATCAAACCATTGAATGCCGAACTTCGGAGGGACATTTTGACGTGGGCACTTACATTTACACACCATTCGAAGTTGAAGCAGTTGAGGCAAGCAAAGTTCTGCGTATCAAAAACCCTGACTTGAGCATCGTTATTTGCAGTTACAACCCTCAACGAACCCCTGATGAAAGAATGACCTGTAGGTCAGCCTCTAAAGGAGAGAATCAGAAAAATTATGAAACAATCTTTTAAGTCTGCTGGATGGGCACTCACGTCGGGTTCCGCGATATATCCACGCTGTTGGTAATGGCATTATCATCTGCTGTTACTTTGATGCAGAATGCAACTCCAGATTGGCTCATGAACTGGGTCAACACAAAGGAGGTTAGTAAACGAGTCGAAGTCTTCATAACTATTTCAGTTATCCCAAGAGTAAGAGTTCCATACCTTGCATATAAGCTCCCCTTGAAAGCCACCAGCAACCAATAAATCGTCTTTTATGGCCATGGTGCTTATTTGAACTCTAGAAAGCGATTGTGATAACAAACCAGGACGCTTCTGTAAAATGCATACAGAAAAGAAAATGAGCGCTTGAATAATGAAATATTATTCACTGAAAGCCCTGATGATTAGGAGACACCTACCAGTGTTGGAACAATGGGTTTAGCCACGTTGAGTACCTCTTTACTCCTCCTAAGCAGTGCAGACCAATGCATTACAGAGTAGTTCTGCATGAGGTACACATCGTGCTTGGAAGTTGACCACAAAAGATTGCGCAGCTACAAAAAGGCAATGAACCAATGAGACGAGCCCCAAATAGCAATCAAGGAAAAAGATGATATAAGTGCATGTGCTATGAACAGAAAACTGCTGCTCTAAAAAGCCAAAGTTAGAGTTCCAGACAATAGTGCTAGAGTTCGGATCAAAGTTCCTAAAAGCCAAAGTTAGAGTTCCAGGTAAAGCTTAATAGACTTTATTCTCTACTAGAACCCTCGGCCTACTAAGACAAACCAGACCCCTTGGATAATAGTGTTAGAGATGAGAAATGGTTAACCTGCCTAAAAGCCAAAGTTAAAAAATCAGAAGTAATCCTTGTTGATCTTGAAGCATGAGTATATATAGTAGATAAAAACTTTAGTTCAGTCAAGGTCCTCTAATTGGATAATGGCAAGTTCTCAAATGACTAACACGTAAGAACTGTCGTAAAGCTGAAGAAACATGTGAAGCCACACGAAGAAGAATGCAATACGTGCATAATCAAGAGCCCTAACATAATAAAAAAGTTTCTTTTGGTGAAAGTAACCAAAAGGAGAGACATGCAAGTCATTACATCCCAAAAGTGTCACGCATGATCCAATCGTGTATGCATGCAACAGTAATAATTTGCCAAAATGTATCGACTGATAACCATTTATGTGAAACATACAAATGTGAACAGATGAACTTAAGGTAGGAAAAAAGAGGAAAACGACAAGGAGAGAGAAAACAAGAAACTGCATGGCAGAACCAGATTCAGGAAAGATCCTAATAACAATCCAAAAAGCTTGTAATAGCTACTCAGCACCCTTACGGCTGGCAGATATTCTCACAACATTATTCGCCTAAATCTCAAACATTTTCCTATCATACCATATAAAAAACGTATCCTTATTGCAGCAGCTGCTCAGATATTACTTCCACCCTGCTTTAGAGGCTGTAATAAAGAGAGTTATATAGCATTTCTAGATGCCGCAGAGAGTTAAGAGACATAATAATATTTAACAAGCAATAGAAATGATGCACACAGAGTGATACAAACAAACCATTTCAACCTTCTATCATAAGAAAATTCAAGGAATAACAACAATCCCAATATTGCAACATATGCATTCACAGGTTAAGATAAAATGCTGAGCCATAAACAAGAATAAATCCAATGCATTTCATGTGGCTTCTATCCAAGGTTAACTCATCTAACCGAGGATTTCTCATTGGAAGTCGAACTTTGTATTCCTTCTTATTTTTTCATAGAAGTATCTTTTCCTGGAGAAATGGAAACTGATCATGTGAAAGCACTGGGATGTACTTTTTTTCTGCAAAAGCATAACCAGCTATTGTTTGCATTCAATCACCAAGTTGCAAGTACAAAAAGAAAAGGAATCTTTGATATCTATGGCCCCAACAAGAGTTCCTATTAGCAAGTCTCTATTCTTGCCCAGAGAAAGGTGATACTGCCAGATTTTCATGTTGCCAGAGAAAGGTCGTAGTGCCAGATTTTCATGTCAATAAGTTTCCCAAGGTCAGGTCACCAGTATACTTTTTTCTGTTGAAGACCACCAGTGGAATTTCCTTGCGCTCCTTTTACTGAACTACTTGGTGTACATACAAGATCAGATCCATTTGTTTCTAGTGCTAAAATTTTCACAAGGCAAAACATCTATCAAAACCTAAAATAAAGAGATACGCAAGCTCCATACCTTCCAACAATTAGTAGAGGCTTAGAGCACTTAGCATATATAACAATACCCAAAAAGGATACTATCATACTGACAAACCTGCAAGACTACAAGACTAGAGCCGTATGTTTAACAAGATATTCTAACTACTTTGGAAGGATGAATTCGAAGACCCAAAGCCTACTAGTTAGTAACTTCTATTGATGCTATGATGCAACATGCGTGATGATGAATGAAGAGCAGTGAAGCATAATTAATGCAGCAATCTGGTGAAAATGGATGATGCATTGCTGATTTTACAAGCAAGAATGCAGGTCCAATTTGAAAGGCAACTTACAAACATCATGCAATTGAAATAGTGGTTTTAATTTGAATGAAATGGAGGAATTAAAATTACAAATTCGACAGAAATGCTTTTTAGGCACAAATATCGACCTGACTAATCACTAGATGTAACTCGTGCAGTTGGCACTGACAGTTAATGTATATTGACTATGCATGATGCATGAGAGTGCCCGGAAAATAAAAAGGGTCCCTATTTGGACGAACTTAAAGGAAGTATTGGCTTAGCATGAAATCTCTACCTGAAAATGCACGATTGTCGATTTGACAAGCCTCGTGTTGAATTGGAAGTCATAAAAGTTCTTCCCCTTCTCAACTTGCAAGCACTCCTGTTAATGAAATATATGCTTAAAAAGACTGTAAAAGAAACAACATCCAAAGAGGTAAAGTCTGGAAATTGGAGGTTTCTTCAAACATGTCCAATTTAATCATCTAATTATTGGCAAAGATTAAAAATCAAGAAAGAAGGGCATAGTCCTTAAAATTAATGGGCTAACTATAACAATGATCAAGATACCCAAACAGAAAGTCTAAAAGAGTAAACAGGGAGAAGATCTTTGAAAAATTAGCTAAAAAAACAACTGGATGCTTTATAATTCTTTCTTAAACAGCTAAAACCAAAGTACTCCATTTCATTGCATCCAAGTCAAAAAAACAAAAAAAATTCCCAAACATAGCAACTTTGGATCATGACATGACAAGAAAACTATATTCAATCCCAGATCACTGGTTGTGGTGCTAGAGAAAGCCGATCTGTAATTCAGATCAAGAAGAACTACACCAAACATGAGAACACACCATGGGGTATATGTTCACTGGGATCGGATGAGTTCGAGATCTAACAAAGTTGAACACACTGGACACCCCCGAATCGAGGGGTTGCAAAACTTTTTGGAGATGTCACGATAATGGGAGAATCAAGAAGAGCATATAAGGATAAAAACTACACGTATAAAGAAACGAGGGTAGCAAATGATTCTGCATGTGGAATCAAATCATACACAAGTGAATCTGCAAACTTCGCACAAACAAACAAACACATTAAATAATAGCACGCCTAAACCATAAGACAAACTCAAAATCAAGGGGTTTCAATGGAACAAAAACCTCACCTTGTCGAGCTCCACGCGAGAACGCGACAGGCTCTCGTAGTTCTTGTACTGCTTCAATCTCTTCTCGCGGTACTTGTCCCGCGTATAGTTCATCCTATCCCAGGGTATCCCCTGTATATCTTTCCCATTTCTCGCTTCCAAAGCAGAGGTATCAGTCTTCGGCTTGTTCTGTTGCACCCAAAACCACAGAAAGAATGAATTAACATAGCAGTATTAGTATTCACATCACTCGGCGATTATTTATATCACCAAGAGAACGAGAGAGATAAAAGGCACACTGAAGACGAACCGATTCGAAGTCGTCCTCGAAGTCGGAGTCCACCGACTCCACATCGGTGCTGCCAGGCGATTCAACATCAAAGAAGGGATTATCGTCGTCGTAGAACTCGTCAAAGTAGTCGTCGACCACGTATTCAAGGTCGTCGTTGTGGAATTGCTCCATTAACTCTGCAATCATCCAAGGCTAAAAAGTGATCAGGGACGCACGAAAGCGAATTCGATTGCAGATCGAAACGGCTCAGGCGAACGGATTGCGCTGAAGACCGGACCTTGCGGCGATTTAACAAAACAAAATCGACGCTTTATGGTAAAAAAAAAACCGTGGGTACACAACAGAAACAGAGAAAAACCAGAGGCCGTCCATATGAACAAGTAAATACGGGGGAAACGAACAAGAGGGTATCGTCAAATCGACCTGACGAGGTCAAATCCTACGAGAAACATCGCACGAGAAAACAAGAACCAAACGAACTCAAGAAAAGAACGAGCGCTTCCACTTACGAAAGGAACAAAACAAGAAGAAGGGCTTCCTTTGGCGACCGTACCTTGGAATTCCGAACCGAGAAACAGAGAAGGGGACTGCTCAGGAGGAAACCCACGAGAGAAGGAACGCGGGGAAGCGCCCAAGAAACCGGAACAAAGGGCGGCGGTCTGGGGGGGGGGGGGGTGAATTGAGAAACTTTCCCGGAAAACGGAGAGGAAACTGGAACGGAAAAATGGACGATCAGCCACCGAGAGCCGGGGGAAGCGGGCGATTCAAGGAAGGCAAGGAAGGACGGAAGGAAGAGGAAGAAGAAGAATCCAGAGGGGTGTATGTGTGTGTGTGTGTGTGTGTGTGTGTGGAGATGAACCTTTCTGTGCTTTTTTGGCCAAAACAGCGAGGAGGATGAAGCCACCTGCGTCCTATACTTATAGAGAGACGAGAGAGAGAGAGAGAGAGAGTGTTCGTGTGTGAAGAAGATGAAGGCGTGGGACCCGCACGGGCCCACGATGTCTTCATTGAGGGTTTTTCCTTTTTTCTTTTTTATTCATTTCTATTATTTTTATGATATAATGCAATACTATAATAATAATATTTATTCGTTGCGGCGAAGAAAAGGGGGGAAAAAGGGAGGGAAAAGAATCCCGTGGGCTTTTGGGGGGGGGGGGGTGGGAGCGGGACCCACTCGACCGGCCTGTTACCGGCTGTTACCAAATTTTATTTTATTTTTTCATATTTTTTGTATTTTATTTTATCTAATTTCCTGCCGCTGTAAATACCAAATTTCCAGGGGATAAAAATAGAGAGCGAGAGAGAGAGGGGGGGGGTTAAATTTGGGTTGCGATTGAGACAGCAATGTGACGTAACGAGAAAGTTGCTACTGCTGAGCTGGCGTTATCTGTCTGTCGTTTTGTTATTGGATATCCGCCCCCACCCAATTTTCCTTATTTAGCTCACCACAATTCCTCGGCCTACTTTTTAATTTCTCTCTCTCTCTACTCTTCTCTCTTCTCTTTTTTTTTTTTTTTAATTTTTGGATTTTATAACTCACGTTGTTTTTTGTTATTTATCGTCATTTGATGCGAAACACCTTAAATTCTTGTTGAAAATATTGACGGACGAATTCTAATACAATACTCGTGCTTTTCTGGATTTTAGGATAGTGTGTTTTGAGCGAATAAGTATGTGGATAATGTTTTGCTTGAAAAAGGAAAACGGAGAAAACAAATCTCCTCTCGATTAAGGTTTATGTGGCGAGATCTATTTTGGACGGGTTTTGCTTTTTCTGAATCTCGTATTTTTCATAAATACGATATCCCTAAGATCTTTTAAATATTCGAAGATCATCCATTGTATTTATTTTTCATATGCTTAGTTTTCTTCTTTTTTTTTTAATAACGATCATTTGGTGTTTAAGTGAGGATATGTGCACCTCCATTAATCCACCTTTTCGAGCAAATCTTAAATACGTGCAAAACTTTGACAAGGCCTAGGACGAGATCTTTTACCGTACATGTTATAGAAGGAATTATTGAATTCAAATCATAATTCTTCTTGTATTTGTAGACTTACCATTTTTATTGGCTCCCCTTACTCTCTCTTTTTTTTTTTTCATGGTAATAACCCTCCACCCAATGAGCAATCTAGCCATGTAACCTGCAACCATAGGTGAACAGTTTCAGGTTCCGCACAAGTTCTACTCGAACATGAAACCTACCCGTTGAACAGATAATTCATTTTTTTGAACCTAAAACCTACCTGCATAACATAGAACTTGGAACTTACACTGTCACGGGTTTTAGGATTGATTCTAGGGTTTATCAAGTTTCACTTATATTATTAATTAAACGATTACAGTGAATCATTACTTTTAATGAATATCACCAGATCAAGAAAAATATAAAAAATTTAGTTTCAGATTTCATCTATCTAGAACTTGAAATGGATCTTCTAATTTTTGAAATCTGGCTTTTATACCTTGGAACTTGAAATCGAGCGGGTTCCTATCAGTCCCGTTTTTCGGTTTCGGGGCATGTTGACCCCTGCCGGCAACCGGCGGCAATTGAAGTAAAAGACAAAGAAAGAAGCGGAGATGTCGGCTTAAATTTCTCTACCTTGGGACTTTTGGTACGGGTTCTGACTTCTCTCACCACTCCTCGGACCACGGGGCAAGCCCAGTGGACCGACACCTGTCGGTCGCGGTCTCCCTTGTGTAGCCGCGTGGTCGGTCCCGTCCGTTCCCTATTTTATTCCTTGTTTCCCCAACAGTACGAGAAATAAAGACGTCGTATTTTTCTAAGGAAAAATGAAACACCGGACTATAAATGAAGCGCATGCAAAGCGGAGGAACAGAGCCAATAGGGACCCGCCACTTGGCGGCCCCAGCCGGAGCCTTCGCGGTCCCCGCAGAGCAGCGATCCGCGACGTCCACGTGTCCCGCGCGGCATCGGCTGCTCTCTCTCGGGAGAGTAAAAGCTTGCGCCAGGTGCCACCAGGCGGCTTACGTCAGCTGACATGTCCTCTTATATACTTTTTGGCGGGGCCCTCCGTTTCCGTGACTTTTGACGGCGTTTCGCACGTTGGGCCGCGGGGGGTGGTTAGCAGCTAACCATGGTTAAGCTTTCGGGGTGTTCACGAGTAACGTGCGTGGGCCCCCGTCAGGTGTTTTGGTCGGTAATAAGGGGGGTCCCACACGGGTGGGAACAACAACTGGGGGATTTCCGTGTGGTCCTTTGCCTTGGTTGTTTCGCACAAAATCTTTTGAGGAGATTAGGTAACATGGAGGCGGATCGACGGAAATCGTTCGAGGCGTCGAAAAGTAGTCCCCACCGAACCATTATAAATATCATCCATAGTCTATTAAAGATCCTTGTATAAATCAAATAAATTTATTATTTTTTCAGTATCCTTACTTTCTATAACTGCACTCGTTTTTTTTTTCTTTCAAGTTCGTATAGTTGATTAAATTTCGACATGTAATCTCTATCTTAAGTGTTGTGTCGTTGATTAAATTATGACATAATAGAATCATTGTGTTCTCAAGCTATGTCGTTGATTAAATTCTGTCATAATTTTTTTACTTCTAGTTACTTCATCGAGTATGTATTTTTCGGGCCTCGTCATCGATTAAATTTCGGCATGGTTTCTGTTTGTACAGTCTCGTTATGTACAAAGTCGTTGATTTCTAATAGTTTGTGATCTTTCCTATCTGGAGTTAGCGCAAAACACTGGCTTTCTTTAATTTAACAACCAACGAACGACTTTTGATCAAAGATATTTTGTCGCGGGAAGAATTTCAGTAAAACAGTGGGGTATGAGAGAGAGGTAAGGGGTCCCCATTCAAGTGGGACAATGGCCATTGGGCTCGAGAGTCCGGCGATTACTTCTCAAACTTGAACGACATATGCTTGTTTAATTCACTGCAGATATAGATTTCTCGATATATAGAATTTCAAGAAAAAAATGTGGAAGGGGGGAGAAATCCAAGTATGGATTTGAATCCCACGTGAAATGACATTCCTCGAAAAATGCGGAATTGAATTATCTAGCAATAGCAAGTATCAAGATTCCAATTCCACAATCCTACGACCCACCATCCTCATAGAAAACCCAGATTTATCACAATCGTCGCCACCATTGATCATTGGTCCCTGATGGCCGCCTGCCACCGCCGTTGAGGAGTGTTCTTCTTTAAAAGATCAAAACTTTTTACGATCCAAAAAATTGAGAGGAATATCTCGAACGAGAATCCATCTTATTATTTCTTATCATGGAAGTATGGAACCAAACGAGGTTATATTAAAGTTAGATGTGCCGACAAGCCCCAAGAAGACAAATACACCTCTAAGCGAAAGCTTTATCATCATAACGCTAATCTGCTGCTAAGTCAGCATAACCCTAGCGGTGGACATGATGAACCCAATCGAGTTGCGCCACCGCAAATTGCGTGTAGAACGGATCAACATATAGGAATAATTACGAGGTTATGCTTGTCTTCTTTTTCTATTTTTTTGACCAAATTAATCTTATATCGAAAGGATAATGTAAAACCTTAAAGAGTCAAAAAGAGTGGTCCAATTCTAACCCGAAAGGTTATGTGAAAGGGACGCACAAGAGCGAGGATAAGTGCAAGGGGCTGCATGCTAGAAAAACAAAACATTTCTCTGTTGCACTTTTTCTAATCTGATCGGAGCTGCTTCTCTGGTCCTTGGGTGGTTGATCATAATTTAAGAACCATAGTTTTGATTAAACCACAAAGATTGGGAACACCTCAGGTGCTCAATGCTCTGGGCTTCGGGTAATTTTTTGTAATTATAACACGTGTGAAATCGTGTGATCTTTAACAATTTAAGCTATTGGTTTGAACGTACCGACATAATCGCGCGGTTCGGGATTCTGATGGAGCTCTTCACGCCCCCAATTAATATTTGCATGTAGTCATGTTTCTCTCATCACCTGTTCTTCTCTTCCCTGTCAAGGCAACAACATGTCCTGCAAGTGCAACCATATTCTAATTTATATATTTCAAGGCCATACTTTATACATCTCATTCGGCGCCCTAAACTAGGTTTCTATAAATCACTAGATATCTTGACGAGACCGATATAATCTAAGTGGTTAATATGCAACCTCAAACACTGTCGAGTTCTCGGTACCTTTATTGCTAGTGGGGCAGAATCACCCAAGCCAGTTTGATATATTGAGTAGCCTCATTTGTCGAACGTGACC